ACGATATCATTATTACTAGTGATAATCTCGACCAACATGTACAGGATTTAAGACAGGTGTTTTCTTTATTAAATGAGGCCGGTCTAAAAGTTAATGTCGAAAAGTGCAAATTTGCAGCCCCTGAATTAAAATATTTAGGTTACAAAATATCTCAAAAAGGGATCGAGACAGATGAATCAAAAATAATCGCTGTACAAAAGTATCCGACTCCAAACACGGCAAAGAAGCTCTCTTCTTTTCTAGGACTTTGTTCATATTATAGGTCCTTTATAAAAGATTTTGCGGCTATCGCTGAGCCATTGTTAAAATTAAAAAGGAAAAAGGCAAGATTCTCGTGGACGGCCGAAGCCAATAGTGCTTTCGAAAAATTAAAACAAGCATTAACGCAAGCCCCTGTGTTGAAATTTCCTGAAAAGGATGAAAATTTAGAAATTTCAGCGGATGCTTCGGATTATGCGGTAGGAGCGGTACTTTCGCAAAATCAGCAGCCCGTGGCATTTTTTAGCCGAACTTTAAATCAAACACAAAGAAACTATTCCGCGACCGAGAGAGAGGCACTTGCAGTTCTGTTAGCAGTGCAAAAGTTCCGAGTCTATTTTGGAAAGGCGCCGATAACAGTATACTCTGATCATGCGGCGGTAACTAGATTGTACTCAGGGAAAAAATTTATCCCCAAGGTTAATAAGATGGGCACTCAAGCTGCAAGAATATAATCTGGTAATCAAGCATACCCCCGGAAAGGAAAATATCGTAGCAGATGCCCTATCACGAATTAAAATAGACGAACAAGGTAATACCGTAAAAGTTGGCAATGCTGACAGCGTGTACAATAAATTCCCGAGAAACTGTAATAACCGAACTGGGTAAGGATCCTGAGTTTGGAAGTATTTATGAGTATTTGAAGGATCCTGAAAATTTTAGCCACCAAGATATTGTGGCGATAAGAAATAGGGCGGCCCATTACGAACTAATAGATGGTCTATTATTTCTATACAAAAACTACGAATTCCAACAACGAATTTCGACCTGTTATCCCAGCTAGTCTTAGATTAAATATCCTGCAGGAGCTCCATGACAGCCCTTTAGCTTCTCATGCTGGTATTCGAAAAACTATCCAACGCGTACGCGAGGCAGTCTACTTTCCTGAACTGCAAAAGTTAACAAGGGCGTATGTCCAGTCCTGCCCAACATGTCAAGCCGTTAATTATATTAATTTCCGCCGCCCGGCCGGGTTTCTAAATAGTATTAAATCCGAATTTCCAAATGAAATAATTGGCATCGATTTATTGGGCCCTTTCCCAAAAAGTCAGTTAAATAAAAGTCGCTATCTCCTTGTTATGGTTGATCATTTTAGTAAATGGACCGAAATTGTTCCCTTAAAACGAGCCTCCGCGAAATTAGTTACTGATTCTATTTTAAATAAATATATTTTAAAATACGGGGCGCCCCTAAAAGTTATATCGGATAATGGTCCTCAATTTGTAAGTAATATATTTGAAGACATGTGCCAAAAACTGGGCATACGTCATTTAAAAATGGTCCCGTATCGGCCGCAATCAAATATAGCGGAACGGGTCAACAGAAATATAGTGAAAATTATCCGTAGTTATGTTAAAAATTTTCATAAAAGCTGGGATAACTATGTCAATGAATTTGCTTTCGCCCTTAGGACCGCAAAACATGATACAACGGGCAAAACTCCTGCTGAGTTATTTCTAGGCAGAAAGATTATAACACCGTTAGATAAATTATTTTATGTGCAACAAAGAGCCCCAGAATTTAAAATGGGTGATATAGAAAAACTAATAAAAGAAGCAAAAAAGAATACGGAAGTAGCACAAAGAAAACAGAAGCTATATTATGATTTGAAACGACGGGGAGTAACTTATAAAGTAGGGGATGAAGTTTTAAAAATTAAGCATTCACTTTCTTCAGCACCAGAAGATAAAACTGCCAAATTTTTTCCACGATTTGAAGGACCATATGTTATAGAAAAAATAACTCACGCTGTTGTAGTGTTAAAAGCCAGAAATGGTGAAACCTGTTCCGCAAACATTGATCAAATCAAGCCCTACTTCGATCGTAATAAAATGCAAATCTTTTCAGATCTTTTGCAGGATCCGGCACGGCAGACACCGCAGGTACAAGTTCCAGAGGTGGAAAACGACAAGTACAAGGGCAAGCCAATGAGAGACAGAAGCAAGTGAAAAGAAAATTGCCCCGCGGAAAAATTGAAGGTAACAAGAAAAAGAAGCCGTTCCACCGTCCAGAAAACAGAGTTCACGAACACCCCCAGAATGAAGAAGGGAGAAGGACGACGTATGTGAAGAGGACCAGGAGGAGAAATGACGGCAACTATAACCCGGCTTTAAAACGGAAGATCTGACTCATCCGACAGAACTCTCCGCAGCAAAAGTCGCCGAACTGCGGAAGGGCCATCAGCGGCGGAGGAAAAAGTACAAGGAAAATTTGAACGGCCAACAACGAGGTCCAAGCAGGATCACGACAGAAGTTTCCCGGTTCCGCCAAGACCAGCTGCCTTCAAACGGCCAAGACCACAAGCAGAGGAGAGAAAAGGAAGGTGTTCAAGGGTGGCCGTACTGGTGAAAAACGGAAGCTTCCAGAGGAAAGCACTGAAGGGCGAGCCCGTACAAGAAGGAGGATAAACCAAGCTACTATCTGCAGTACCTTTAAAGACTGGGCCCAGAAAAGGATGTCCGAATATTACAAAGATAAGTAAAATTTTATGTTACTTTGCAAACTTAAGTTAATCTTTCATTCTTACTGCAAGTGGCAGATTTCAAGAAGTTTTACCTCATGCGAGGTCTACCTTTATCGCCAAAAGGGCGAGAAATGAGTTGTGACCGATTTTCTTATTATGTTTTTCAATTACTCGCGCGTAAAACTAAAGTTGATGTATAATAGCGTTGTGTAAAGACTTAAATATTGTAAAAAGTTATTGTATAAATTTTATTTAAAACATTCTAGCAAGAAAGAAGTTTTAGTCTGAAAGACTTTTTGAAAATGTATTATTTCAATGTAGAAAGAATTGGCACTTGCTTTGAAAAGAATAGAAGTTAACAATGTACTACTAATGTATGTTTTCAAATGTGTAAAATTAACGGCATGTTGATATGTTGTGAACTGTTATTTTAAATGTTAAGAAATACCGTGATATGGTAAAAGTGAAAGTAATGTTAAAAATTTGTTATTCGTGTGACTGTAAAGATTAAATCATGGCGAATATGTGTTAAAGGTTGAATGATGTAGTTAGGCTCTCTGACGCTACACTTTAGAGTTAGCCACTTTTAGAATAGTACCTCAGGGTTTAGAGTTGAAATTAGGGTGTGTTAAGAGGTCTCGTTATGTTGAATTTTAACACGTTAGTGTTTTGATTGTAGGAGGAAGTGTGGCACACGTAGACAGAAACACATTCGTGTTTGGTGTTCTTTTACAACACATGTCAGAGAGCACGGGGAGAGATAATTAAAATAGTCATGAATGAAATAAGAATGTTAAGAGAAGTATATTCTATATGTTATTTGCCAATGTCATTGTGTAACATTTCATTAAACTAGTTTTCCTTCCAGATCTCTGGAAGGAACCAGAATTGAATAAAGCTCCTGTTTAGATGCAGTACAGATGAAAAAAAAAGATTGTTGTATATCCTGGGAGCTGCTATTGTAACAAATTTCTTTCTTTTAAATTTTCTAGTTTCTAGCGAAGTTATGTTTGTAAAAGATTGGCCTCGCGTTAGATTCTAGAGCTAAAAGTTTTCAACAAGGTCGTTTTAGACCTCAGTTTCAAACTAATTAACTCTGGCGGGAAGTATGTAAGGATCTTAAGTTTTACTAACGTTTATTTTATTTTAAATCTTTACTATCACTTCTTATTTTCTACTTCCGGCCAGAATTATAAGCGTGAAGGATTTTTATGCAAAGTTTGTCTGGCGAACGCCAAGTATTTAAGTTGTGGCCTTTTTGCCAAGCAAGAGAGAGAGGAAGCAGTGAGTTCGAAGCAGGCCGCTTACCTTAGAAGTTACGCAGTTGCTGTTTGCCTTCCAGGCCAGAGGTTTTAATCCTCTTGATAAATTAAACGTATTGTAGTGTTCACAGTCTCTGTGCTACATACGCTTCCTGTTATTATAAGGCCAATCTTCCACGTGTATTATTCTAAAGTTAAATTAGAGTTTAGTTTTATTTTTATACTTTTACGTTAGACCCCGAGTGGCGGGTCATTGTATTCCGAAGTACGGAAGTTATTGTATATAGAGGAAAATAAAGGGTTTTGTATACCCTTCGTCTGTATCCTGTCTACTTACCACAATTAGTGAACATAGCTTTAGTAAGCTCTCTGTTCCGAGTCAGGTCCTTGTATGTTCCCGAAGAAGGTTAGAAGGAACATTGAACCTGATAGTAGTACTTAAAATAGTAGTACTTTAATTAGCATTAGTAGTCATTAAAATATTTTGTGAAATAATGATTATAGATCACCAGTTCTCAAACTATGGTACATTACAGTATTTTTAGTGGTACAATTTTTACAGAAAAGAATTAAATTAATGTAAAATTGTGCCCCTTTTTGGACCTTTTTAACTTTTTGTTTTAATCTTTATTATTCAGAAATACATATATTTTTTTATTTTATGAATTTTGCGGCTCTAGCTTTAATGTTAAAATGACAACTTTTACGAATATAATTAAATAATATTAAATTTAAAGGGTTTTTTTTATTCTTTGATTATTTATACACTCCATTTAGGATGCACTGATTTTTAATGGCAAAATGCTTTTATGGTGGTACATATATTTTGTTTCATGTTTATACGTTACAAAATTTGAAAGGTTTGAGAACCCCTGTTATAGATACTTATATTTATAAAAATATAGATGCCACTAAAAAAGATTTAAATCTATTCATATTTTATAAGGACTTTGCAAGATAATGAAAATAAGTAATAATAAAATGAATTTAAAATAAGTTAATGTGTTTTTCATTACCTCCATCAGCGTTCTTTGAATTTCTCTGTCAGCTGAAGTACCTTCAGAGAATCTACGACCACCTGAAATGTAAACAGTAGAAGGAATGTATAAAAGCTATAGTGTAAAAATATCCACCACCCTTTTTTTTATTTGAACAACATTTACTTTAATCCCACTAAGTTACATAAATTTAACCCAAAAACCAACTTATTTCGATAATATACATTATCAATGTTTTATATATGCACACTAAGATTTTGAAAGTTTATAACCAATCAATAATTGAAGTCAGAAAATGTTATGTAAAATATTGGGTTAAAAGTTTCCGGCCACCGCAAACAGTTCACGTTTGCATGTTTAATCCTATTTTGTCAAACAATTTTTGGCATTTGAATTTGAAAGAAAGAAACTTTGGAACACAGTGTTATGAAATTTGTAAAAAAAATATTGTTATCATTAAGTACAAGGTATCTGAAATGGAACTATCATGCTACCAGATAAGAACCATCATTTACTTCCAGTTATGTTGCAAAAAGTCAGTTACAGAATATCACCAAATTATGAGCACAGTTTTAAGTACTAATGTTGTATCATATGACACTGTGAAGGTTTAGTACTGAAAGTTCAAAAACAAGGACTATGACATTCAAGAACCACAGCATTCTGATCGGCCTACTGATATTGATGAGGCCTGCCTGCGAGAACTTCTGGAAGAAGATCAGTAACTATTCGAGAGCTTGCTAAGGAGTTAAACATTGGTGACATGTCCATTACTCGTGCTAGGCATCACATAAACCTGACATACAAGTTCAATTGCTGGGTGCCGCATGAGCTGACTCAAGCAGATAAGGACAGATGTGTTTGGGCCTGCACCAACCTGCTCAAATATCGACACAAGGACAAAATTCTGGACTGGATCATCACTTGTGATGAAAAGTCTATTTACTTCAACAACACAGACCGAAAAGGGCTTTGGTCTATGGCCGGTGAGCCTGCCGGTAGCATTGTGAAACACAATTACATTTGCAAAAAGATCATACTTTGTGTCTGGTGGGATTGCCGTGGTATTATCCACAAAGAGGATCTGGAAGATAGCAAAACCCTTAACAGTAAGGTGTACAATGAGACGCTAGTCCCTTTTGGCACTCATATTCTAAGGTAATGTAATTCATTTATCATTCCTTTTAATATGAAAACTGATAATCAGTTTGAATATGAAAACAGTTACTAATACAGAACATATGTATTCTGTTACGATCCACACGTATGAAAATTCATCATTCTGTAAGCAACACATGCAGCTGGTCAGAATGAGATTAGAATCATTATATAATACTATCATTGGTACTTCCATCTTCACAGCCACTATCATAATAGAGGCAAGATTATCACCATGCCCATGTTTACTTCTCACATATAGTTCCTGGCTGTCATAAATCTGTGATTTTTACCATGACATCAAAAGTATTTTCTTGTGCTAAAGATTTCGGCACATGAATTTTACAAGCCAGGACTCAATGATGAGTCATGTATCCTTGCTTTTTATTTTGCCACTTAAGATACAATAAGACTCTTAACAGACTCCAACAAGCGGCAAAATTTCAGGATTGACAAAATGGAATTCATGGTTTATATTGAAATGACCATTTCCTGCTTTTTCTAACTTTTTTGTATGCTCACTAATAATCTGGATAAACTGTCAAGCCCTCTTGTACGGGATCCACAGTTTTTGCCGTAAGTGTGGCTGCCTCTTTGTTCAAAACCTGATTAAGAAAGCACTCATAAGTTTCTCCACCAAATATCCAATGCTGTAAAAAGAATCTTGCCACTACCCCCCCCAGAAAAACACACTTTTGTCAATTTCCACAGTTTTCCCAGCCCCCTATTTATTTATTTGATTGTTGGATCAAATGCAGAGGACATATTTCTCTCACAAAACTGTTTCAATTAATAGTATTTTGGGAAAGTTTGAATTGCTTCTCACACCACTTAATCGACTGCAATTCCTCTGCCCAACAGTAAATTAATCACAATGCTGTTACAAACAGTATTTTGAAGCCACTAAACCAGGTGTATGTCTTTCTTTTGCTTGCAACTTTTTACAGTGTTATCTTCAAATGCTTTCATTCATATAGTTTAATTTCATGGCTAATTTTGCATTTTCAATTGTACAGTAAAATGCCTTTTTCGTGGAGTAATGACACAGCATTTTTCTCAAACATAGGCGAATTAAAAACTGTTTTTTCCTTCCCTTTGAAAAAGAGAAAATACATTAAAACAAGCTTATTAATCTCTCTAATGTAAGTACATCAGAGTAAGACGTAAGTACATACAAAACCGTTCGCATATTTTTTAAAAATGCACGTAACACACAGCCTACCCAGAGCTCTTCTCGCAGTGAGTGAACTAATTGAGCAACTGTTGTTAATGTAAATATCAGTCAAGCTTTCAAATGGAAGAACCTTAACAGTGAATTCAACAAGATTTATAGAAATTACATCACAAAATATACAGCATCTCACAGAACAGTAATCACTTTACAGAACTGTAATACACATCTTAATTGGGGAAAAAAAAAAAAATTCTATATTTTGTGTATGCAGTCAAACGTTTACTTGCGCAATAGTTAAACAAACAGCATATATTTACTTGTGCAGTAGCTAAAGAAATAGCACATGCACTTATTTTCCCAAATTTTAAGTCGTTTATATTAGAACTGTCTTTGGCAATTTACTGCAACATTTAAGTTGTAACTTCATCAAAAACTAGCAACACTTAAAAACTGGGGACTGTACAAATGTTAACTGCAGTTGTGATCTTGTACTGGATCTATATTGGACTGCATTTATTATCTCATATCAATCTAAGAAGCAAATTATTAAAAAAATGACCATTATAAATAAATAATGCACCCACATGAGTTTAAACTGCATAATCAAATTTACAAATCATTTAATAAAAACTTCAAACTTATGTAAATATTTTTGCTCCTTATTTTTAGGAACACATTTAAGAAATGTACACTACAGGTTTTTTGTATACGTACTCATTACTATACAAATGTAGTAAATTTTTATACATGTTAAAGATGATTTACATACCTACATAGAAAAAATGTTGTGCATGATACTTAAAACGTTCTGACATGAAATCAATTATCAATAAATTTCTGTATAAATATTATTTTAATAGGTGTCTAAACAGTATTTCAGTAGTATTTTTTTTATAATTAGCATTTTACTTTGAATGCTATACTTAAAGTGAAAGTATCAACTTTTAATTTTTCGCTTTAATTTCTACTTTAAAAGAATGGCTAACAGGGATGACCTCTGATGTTAAGTAATTGCATAATTCAGTTTTTTTCCTTTAAAATTCTAAAGTTTTTCATGTTCTCCTTCTGTATCTGAATGTTGCATCTACAAAAAGATTTATGCAGTTGTATGAAGAAATAATTTATGTAGATCAGATACTTCTACATATATCTTTCATTTCCTTTTTCAGTAGCCATGCAATGTTAGGAAAAAAAGTGAAACTAGTTACTAAAAAACACTTAGATTTTCATTTTACAAGCTAGAAGATGCAACAGAGAATTCCTAGAGTTATTATTTTAATTGCTTATGTCATAAACAGTTATTTAAACATTACTATAAAACAATTACATATATTTTACCAGACTTTAAGATAAAAAAACAACTTGTTCCATATATAACATTTCAGTTACAAAATAAATTTAAAAGCAATGAACACTTATAAACATATTTTTAAAAAAATTTACATCACCATACTTCAAGAATAATTAGAAATACCAACACATAAATTACCTCAGGTAGTAACTATTTTGTCAAATTCTAATAGTTCTGTATATTAGAAATGTTTTAGTTTTTAAAATGATAATCTTTCACTCATAAAAAAATAGAACGGATTGTAAATTCATAAGTAACTTACCTATAGCATCGATTTCATCCATAAATATTACACAAGGCTGATGATCACGAGCATAATTAAACATTTCTCGTATAAGACGGGCACTTTCTCCAATGTATTTGTCAACAATAGCACTGGATACAACCTGCATAAAAAATGAAAATATTTCTTGCAATGCATATACAGTTGATAGCATTATACCTGTTACTGGCAATGAGTGGAAAACTGACATTCTCTCTAAGCAATATATAAAATGCCCATCGATTAAGAGGGTAAAGTTTTGTCATTTTGGTAAATGCATGGAATGTTAATAAGTTTATACTCTGCCAACCAGTTTTCGGCATTCTATACAATGACAGCTTTCATACACTGCCAGTAATATATATCCATTTTTCCAAAAGCTTTAGTTATTTTTAATTATTACAAGACACTGAAGATGCATTAGAAAACTTATCTTTTAACACAGCTAAATTCTACATCAATAAATATATGAATGTTTTTCAGTAACTGTTTCAGCAGTGAGAATTATTAACATAATTAATAGCTTATATTCCTAAAATAATATTTCTAATACTTTTTCACTAAAGCTTCATTAATGAAATTATTAAAAATTCTAAAATACAATTATGAGCTTACTTTTAGAAAGTTTGCTTCTATTTGGCTGGCAACAGCCCTCGCTAAAAGCGTTTTACCAGTACCTGGAGGCCCATAAAGTAGACAACCTTTTGGTGGTGTTATGCCAACTCGTTGAAAGAGTTCAGGATTTAATAGTGGTAATTCAATCACCTAAAAACAAAAAATATCACGGCATTTTCAGTATGTTAATAACAGCATATCAAACACACTGAAAATTAACATTCTTTATCAAAATCAAAATTTATCAAAATTTAAAAGTAAAAAAATCGTACTTCTCTAAGTTCTCGGATTTGTTCCCCCAAACCTCCAATCATGGAATAAGATATGTCACCAGGATCTTCATGAGACATATTATAAACAAGAGGATCAACTTCTCTGGGAAGATATCTTTAAAAATACATTTTTAAATGTACACATATGAAAAACATTTAATAAATAATTTTCATGGTGAATATGATATTCTTTTAGCCAAATAGAAACTCATAATTTCAGAAATTCTTGAAACTTAAATCTAAATTATGCGAAATATTTAATAAGCATTTACATGGGGATTAACAGTATTTAGAAAACTTCAAACATTATATGATAAATGATATTCTTTTAGTCAAATAGAAACTCATAATTTCAGAAATTCTTGAAACTTAAACATAAATTATGTGAAATGTTTAATAAGCATTTATATGGAAATTAACAGTATTTAGAAAAATTCAAACAATACCTCATAATTGTTAATGTGGTCATATCCAAAGCAACACGTGTACCAGATTTCAACTTTGTTTTGTCCAGCTGTCTACGACATCCTACCACATAGCGAGGACCATTTGTAGCTTTCACAATAACTAAATATTAGAAAAATAGAATCTAATTATAAAAAATTAACAGCATAATTCTTAGTACCAAAGGATTAAATTTAAATGCAAACACATTTTACTCTTGTTTCATTTATTTGAATGTTTAAAATAGAATATTAAAAGCATCGTTACGAATTTTTTTTATAGGTAAAAATTTTTTTAAAAATTATACATGAAGTCTTTTTTAAAAAAATAATGTAACATGAAATGCTTGAAAGAGACAAAGCTCTGCCAGAAAAATAAGGTTACAGGGGCAAGCTTATTTAACAATGAAGTAAATGGCTATCTAGCTAAATTGGTGAAATATCACCAAACTGACGATGGTTTTGGCAACCAATTTCTGTCCCCAAACATTTTGCAGCAATTCTATTCGGCCCCTGTATAACTGCAGTTGGTACTGTGACTGAATAACTGTAATTGATCCCTATATGTAACTGTAACTATATTCGGCCCTTCAGTAATTTCAAGAAGGTAAGAAGGTGTCTTGATATATAAAACTGAAGACAGTATCAATTTTTCAGTTCAGAGATGAATTCCAAGTATTGAGATATCTGCGAGAGTTTCGCCTTTTAGATGTCCTTTGCATTGTATTTAATATTCTTAGTAATTTGAAGTGTAACTACTGATCATGCTTTGTGATACTGAGAAGAGATGTATAAGTATTTCTGTGGAAAATTCCAGAACTGTAAAGTGTTTCCTTTGATAAAATAAATTTTATCAAGCTATCATCGGTTCTGTATGCCTTCAATCCATAATGAACCTGTACACATGCAACAATATAATTACAATTAGGATATGGATAAGGCTAAAAAATAAGTAATTCCTTTGGAAATATTTAGCCTACTGTTTAAATATTTGTATAAAAATAATTCTGTTACTTTTTATAGACACTATTAAAATGTTTTTAATAATTTAAACTAGCCACTTATGCAGTCAGCCACCTAAGTTGTTATTCTAAAAAAGAAAAATATATCACATTTACTAACATATGTAACACCCCCTTTTTTTTTTTTTTTTTTAACTAATTTTATCAAAAGAAAATCAAGAGAGGAAAGTAATGTGAATAATTTAATTTCAGAAGGATATAATTACAGAAAGAACACAACAAATGAAAAGTACTCATAGAACAAAGTACTGATAATTATCACATTATTTACTTAAAAGAAACCTACCTTGTAATAAGAACACATAGTAATATAATCATTACAATATAAAATATCTTCATTCTGCCTTCCTTGTGTCTTGACTATTATCCCACTCTTATTGTCGCTCCACTGCTACTCCCTAGATCTCAAATCAATCATGTAGTGCTGCTAAAACTGTTGTTGGCAGCGTTTTCAATACCGTTCAATCTGTCTTCCCACATGCAACAACTTCAGCAGCATCAAGAGCATTAGATATCACCATTTTCTTGAAGCTCTTCACAATTACTGTTCTGTCAGTCAGAACCGATACACTCAAAATCCATATTAAAAGATAAAAACAATCACTATGTGGACGAATCCATTTTATTTCGGAAATTAAAATGGAAATTTGATTAGGAAATTAAAATTAATTAAAATTTAGGAATTAATTAAAGTTGAAGAAAGCTTGAATTCTGAATGTTGTGAGGATGGGGAAAATTATTTGAATATTTTTTAAAAATTGGGGAACCTTGAGCTAAAGGAGGAAAATATTCAAGTAAATATGGTATATAATCATTTTAGAGTCCAGCTAACATAATTTTATGGGTCCAGTTAGTCATCTATAATAACTGAAAGAATCAGTGTTTATTGCTTTTAAATAGCTTATTTCCTATACTATTAAAATCCATGAGCATATTGTCTGTTTGTTGGTTTGTGGGCATCATCTCCTCCAGAACCGCAGGGAGTTGAATTTCAAGACAGGTATCTCCGGATTTCAAAAGTTTGTGACAAGCCATTCCAACCATTCTCATCTTTGTACAACTTTAATCAGCCGGGATATTAATTAAAAACTCTGAAAATGATAATTTTTGCACTTATTTTCTGAGTGGCAACAATCCCAAGCGCTGGAGATAAAAATCTGCTTAATTTCAAAAAGTGTTGCCGCTGCTTGCTTTCAAATTGTAGAGTTTGTTAATAAAAGTTGCAACTTTTACAAAATATGAAATAAAAATAATATTGGCAAACATTAAATATGTTATTATGTCAGATATTCTGATAAATATTCTGATGTTGAAGAAACCATGCGATTGCATGTGATGTCATTGTATGTCGAAATATTTTGTTAATGCCAGCACTTTTAATAAATAGCTGCTATTGACAGCTTTTTTATTTCAGGATAGGATAACTGACACAATATGTTATTGCCACATTAATTCTTTTATTGATATTGAGAAAAAGTTGTTATATTACATTAAATTTAAATCATGACATCATACATATACATATTAATCTGACGTGTCAAACTTTTTTGTTTCCTGGTAACAAAAAAATTATTTACAAATTGCTTGTTGCTTGAAAAGAATGAACTGATTTCATTTATATTGGAATGTTTTCAAATATTTTCTTTTTAGGTGTACAAAGAACTTATAAATGTTGCTTTGGATGCAGCCCACTCATTTGGCAGCCTTGTCCGCTAGTATTAACTAATAACAGAATAAATTTGAAAGAAAAACTATACAGCTTATGCTTTACTAAATGGTAACAAGCAGGTACATGGAAGGAAAAAATATTTTATAATGGCTAATGGTAACACACTTCATTTTAACTGCTGAGTTCTTTTCTTAAACTTCAAAGAGAAATATCTTAACATTTTGCCTAATGGCAACACCCTCTTTTGTGTGTCTGAATTTTCCATTTAAATTTGAAGACAAGCAGACACACAACTTTTATATCACTGAATTTTTATGTCTTGTTTGTTGCTTGAAAAAAAAGAACTGATTTCATTCATATTAGAATTTTTTCAAACATTTTTTTAGGTGTACAAAGAACTTATAAATACTGCTTTGGCTCACTCATTTGGCGGCCTTGCCCACTAGTATTAACTAATAACAGAATAAATTAAGAAAATCTATATAGCTTATAGCTTATGCTTTATTAAATGGTTTAAAAAAAACAAGTACATGGAAGAAAAAAAAATATTTTATACTGGGTAATGATAACACACTTCATTTCAATTTCAACTGCTGAGTTCTTAAATTTCAAAGAGGAATATCTTAACATTTTGCCTAGTGGCAACACAACTCTTTTGTGTGTCTTAATTTTCTGATTAAACTTGAAGCATAAATATCTTATCCTTTGACAAGTGGATACACAACTTTTATATCACTGAATTTTTAATTAAAAATTTCCTAAATTCACATAAAATACGTAATAAATAAAAAAAATTCAGGGTTCGAGGTGCACATGTTTGAGATGAGAACTGTTACATGCCAAATTCTCTACAATGCGAAATTCAAAAAACAAATACGTTGCACTTAGCTAACATACTTCCTTTTAATCAAATTTTCTAATTAAATTTGAAACATAAATATTTTATGCTTTGCAAACTAGCAATACAAAGCTTTCAAATTGCTGAGCTTTTAATCAAAAGTTCATTAACTTCACTAAGGTGCTTAGATCTGGTTTGAAGAATGTTAAAAAATTTTGTGGCTTTACATATCACCATTTTCTCATGACGTAGGGAAGATACATATGCACAGATTTTTTATTCACTATTTTTACACTATTGTTAAAGGTTCAATAACATTTTTTTAAATTATTTTATATGCTACTCGGAATGTCTGGTGCTATTACACAATATGCCTAAGCATGTGATAAAAAATGGCATGTTATATGTAGAATGCCTAAGCATTACATAGAATGCTGAAACTGGCTTCATGAATATTTTTTCATTATTTTTTGGTTGGGGGTGGATAATAAGAAAGCATTTTTAATGGGAACAGATCGAAATATTCTGATGATCGATGTATACATATAAAGGATTAAAAAAAAAAAAAATACAGAATTTCTCAAAAAGGTGTTTTACTACTTAATGTATCATAGAATTCTTATTTAATAATTTAAATTTGTACTTTAAGTTGCTAAAATATATATTCTTTTAATGTATTGATAATGTTTGTGGACTTAAATAAATATCAATAGTTTGGCGAACTTCTTAAAAAAAATGCCAGATAAATTATTTTCATATAAATATTTTATGCAGCATGAATTATTTTACATACTTACATTTTTCTTCTGTTAACTGCTTTAAAACTTCTCCAACAATCTATGCAAATAAGACACATGAAAAATGTATTTAATTCATAAATGAAAAATTTGAGTACATAACAACAATAAAAGCTAATTAATATCACAATGTTTAACTGTTACTATTATAGTTATGTTAAAAAATTTAAATAATAATCTCAGAAAACAGACTGGATACCTGTCCAACACTCTGCAAAGCTTTCAGATCATTTTCAGATTTCTCATACAATTTATTGAATTCTTTTAACTGTTCTCTCACTAAAAATTAAATTAAATAAAAAAAATTCAGTAATTACTGAAAATAAATTTTAAAAACATTTTATAGGATGTACTGAATTTTAACTTTGCAAGAAGGATTAGCAATTGATGAGTTTTTAACACATCTAAAATGTTTATTTTCTTGAAAAATTAAAAAATCTTAAGATGTTTTAAAAATTTACGTCCATAAAATACAGCATCAAATACAGTTCAGAAATAATGATATATTTAAACATGCAATACCCAATAAATTAGAAAGCACAACTAAGGACTGAATTACTTAAATCATGCACAGCTCGAGGACTATCTTTCCACACTTCAACTCAGTGTTTGAATAACTGCATCCCAGGGAATAGATGCCAATGAATACTTCAAAGAGAATTTTCAATTCAGTAGAATTTAAATACTCTCATGCCACAAAAACACTAATCACAAATTACCATACCTAACTTCATATTTAAATACGAAATCAATGGACCTGACCAATGATCAAGCTCCATTAATTACTGGATCTGGGGCAAATAGCATTTTCTCAACATCTGTTACAATAAATATTTCTTCAATACACTACATTAACATAAATTATTTTTAATTTAAATTAATCAGAATCAGAAATTTTAATGTAAGTTAAACAGAATCAGAATTATTTTAAATAGAATAGATTAAATAAAAGCACAGAGTAATTTTTAATTAATAGTAATAGCACAGTAATTTTTGCTATTTAGATAAACATTTTTTTCCGGTAAAATCTTAGGAGAGCCAACATCCTTGGCGACAAACTGGGAACGTACAGAATAACCCACTGCTTCGCGCGTTTCTCAAAATTAGCAACTTGAAAATAACACGTCAAAGAATTGCAGAAACTCAGTATCCATATACACATCGACCTATTTTCACTTAAAAAAAAATCCCAGAATTGCACAAACTTGGCACTGCACACTCCTTTGACTTTGTCCATGTACACATCGATACGTGCCATATAAGTGGGGACGCCAAGGGTGTGGGCTCTGCTAGGATCCAACTTCTTTTTCCTTCATATTATCAGGTTTTAAATACAAAGATGCATTAAAAATACGTAAAATTAAATTTCACATTTGCAGTGACTTAAGCATTACATTTAAAGATATTTTGGTAAAAATATATTTACAGGTACCCCTTGGCAAAAATTGGTGATTTTTGGCAGTACATGGATACAAAGTTTGTGCAATTCTTTGACTCGTAATTTTGGCTTTGTGTAGTGGCAATTTTAGCCCCAAAATTGCCGCTACACAAAGACAAAATAACAAGTCAAAGAATTGCACAAACTCGGTGTCCATGTACACATTGATCTATTTTTCACTTTAAGAAAAATCTCAGAATTTCATAAACTAGGCATTGCACACTCCCTTGACTTTATTGATATACACGTCGATCTATTTTCACTTAAAAAAAATATCAGAGAATTGCACAAACTTGGCATTGTGCACTCCTTTGACTTTGTCCATGTACATATAGAATATTTAACTACTCAGATTGCCATAAATGAAACAACTTGGCGATAAAGGAAACAACTTGGCAATAAATGAAACAACAAGTCGCAATAATACAAGGGGTACCCTTCAGTCTACTCTAACCAATGTTTTTTTTTTTTGAAAAAATTTAAAAGCAAAATTTTATGAACCTCCCCCCCCCCAAAAAAAATGACATGCTTTCAATTTTATTCATAGTGCTAATCTTAATATTAAATTATACATTTCTAACCTGAAACTAAATGAAATAATGACTTTGCAAGAAATACAGTACAAAGTCCGTAATCCGGACGTCCATTATCCAGAATGATCTATAATCCGGACCTCAAAGCCACAAACTTATGCATGCACGCGTCTGCTACGCATGCGCGTAAAGCGTTTACCCTCGTGCTTCCGATAGTGAAGAAAGTGACAGAGAGGTTATTGAAAACGAAAAAATTTCGATTGACAAGTTAGCCGTTATTCTAGACACAGCAATTACAGGACTTGAACAATGGAACTTTCTGGAAGTCTGTAATGAAATTTACCTAAATACTGTAATTTAAAAAATCCTTTTGATGTTATTTGAGAAAATATCATAGGTTTTGATTATTGGATTTCGATTAAGTGTAGCTTGCATTTGTTTAATGCATACTTTTATGTTATTTTATTTACTACAGTCAAAAGTCGTTAATTCGGACACCCATAATCCGGAATGATCTATAATCCGGACCTCAAAGCTACAAACTTTCTGTGCATGCGTTGCGTTGACGCATGCACGTAAGACCTTTACGGCTGCGAATTTGCATGTGCGCGTGCGCAAAATACGTTTACGAATACGCATTTAATGTATAATGGATGGTATAAGCTAAGCTTTAATTATCTATTTCAGTTAATGTTGCAGATTGCGTTGTTCCTTAATCTTCGAATTGGATCTGGCTTATTATTTTTTGCAGACTGTTAAAGCAATTTTATAAAAGTAAGTTTGAACTTTCGATTATGTCAAATAGAATTTCTGATTTATATTTACTAATATGTAACGGATTTACAAAGCGAAAGTATGTTTCGGAATCCATTAAACAAAAAGTGGAATTGCTGCAAAAAATGGATAAAGGCATATAACGGATGGTATAAGCTAAGCTTTAATTATCTATTTCAGTTAATGTTGCAGATTGCGTTGTTCCTTAATCTTCGAATTGGATCCGGCTTATTATTTTTTGCAGACTGTTAGAGCAATTTTATAAAAGTAAGCTTGAACTTTCGATTATGTCAAATAGAATTTCCGATTTATATTTACTAATATGTAACGGATTTACAAAGCGAAAGTATGTTTCGGAATCCATTAAACAAAAAGTGGAATTGCTGCAAAAAATGGATAAAGGCATATCCTTTGTTTATCTAAACTTTAACATTTGTTTATCTAAACTTTAACGTTTGTTTATCTAAACTTTGTTTATCTTTAACGCGGGTGCGCAATGAATTGGAAGTTGATCTGTCAGCACTATCCTTATCTTCAGGGCAGATGTTTTTATTTTATTTGGCTTATAATTGCTTACTAAATGTAGTATTTCATTTTGATATACTCCGTCTTTGATATGATTTAAATCTAATGCTTTGTCATTATAATTCGCTTCCGATAGCGAAGAAAGTGACAGAGGTTATTGAAAACGAAAAAATTTCGATTGACAAATTAGCCGGTATTCTCGACACAGCAATTATAGGACTTGAACAGCGGAACTTTGTAACTGAACAAGAAATTATGTATGTTTATAGAATTAAAGAGAATGTATTATCACATAAAAAACGAAGCAACTTAAACAACTTACATTGAAAGAAATGTTTAATAAAGTAAATAAATAAATGTTAAGCTTTTTTTTTTTTTTTTTTTTTTTGTAAATTTTGATACACTTTAGATCATAATTGTTCTTTATTTCGTAAATTATGGTTTCATATTTTTAATTTTATAATTTCTTCATGCCATTTTACCAGATTTAAACTGATGATCTATAATCCAGAAAAATCGATAATCCGGAATCGCCGAAGTCCCGACGAGTCCGAATTAATGACTTTTGACTGTATATGTTTTTCGGACATTAATAATTATTATTAGTTCTGTTTCTTGGAGTTGACAACAAAATAACTTTCAGAATGCTAATGAGCTAAAATGTATGTGTTTATTTAGGAGGCTTAAAAGAATGTTTGCTGTTTAATGGAGAGGTTTTATTTAAAACTCAAACTATATTTTCAGATATTGATACTTTAGAATTATGTTTATTAGTCTCTAGAGACCATGATACGCTGGTTCCAATACATTTTATTTTGATGGGTGAGTATTTCATCGGCAGAACATAAAACACATTGTTCTACAGTACAGAAATGGAGGGTAAAGAAGCTATTAAATTTGAAAAGAAGATTCACAGAGCTGTGCTCATGGAACACTTCAACATTTTAGAAGAAATTATACAGAAAAGAGTAAGAGCTCAGTGTTTTTGTTTCAAAAGCTCAATGTTTGGAAAATATTCGCATACGTTTTCTCAGTATACTGACAGAAAAGGAAGCTGAAGCAAAGTTTGATGCTATGGCAGATGAGAGAGATAAGGTTATAAGAATAAAAAATACAGTGAAAGATATTCTTAAGAATTTTCAGTACGCCAGTACTACAAATTTGGTTTTTAATGAAACTGCTAATTAGAATATAAGCAAATTTACATTTAAATGGTTAACATTGCTACAGCTTGAGTTAAGAAAATTTGACAGAGAAAGTATGGTTCCTTTTTGGCATCAGTGTTAAAAACTCTAGCAAGATACAATTTCTGATTGTAATAAATTTCAATATTTGTTGCAAGCATTGTTGATGATTCACATACAAGGAGGGTTATAGAAAGTATTCCTCCTATAACTGCTAATTATTCCAAGGCCATAGAATATATGAAACCACATTTAGGTCAAAATGACTTGCAGGTGGAAATTTATGTGTAGAACTTGATCCTGGGCAATAATAATTCCACTCACTATTCTTATAACTTATGCACATATACGGAAATTTGGAACAATAAATTCAAGCTTTGGAAACAGCTAACATCTCTATCAATAAAAATGCTGCACTTCTTTATCCTTTTGTTAGTCTTGTTTAAAAGAAGAATTAAGAGCATATCAAAGAAGTGCAAACGTTAACCATGGTCCAAACCCAAAATGTAGATCGGACAATTTATTAAAATTTTTGGTTTAATCCTAGTATCTGGTGCCCACGGAATTTGGCTCCTTTTCACTACTTTATGATGAGCAGTAAATATGACATATAGGATGAGAAATAAACAGTTTTGCCAATAATTTTTTAAATCGCGCCAAGGCTTCACCATATACTAGGATTTTACCAAATTTTTTGGAACAACTTGAGTATAGGACCCCATTGGCGATTTCTTTGGCTTTGCGACCAGAAATGTCGCCAAGCCATGGAAAAGCCGTTAAAATTGAAAACACAAGTTAGAAAGCACATTTTAACGAGAAAAAAATTTTAGAATATATGTTTAAACAGCAAATCTGAAGGTACATAATTAAGTAGGGGCATATTTTAAGTGGTAATATTGAAAATATAAGCCTTGTAAAAGCAGTTAAAATTGAAAATAGATGTTAGAATGCACATTTTAAGAAGAAAAATTTTAAATACAAATTTAGAATGTATATTTAAAGAGTGAAACTGAAAATAAATAAATCATTGGACGTATATTTTTAGCACACATACTGAAAATACAAATTACAGGCTGTAAAATTGAAAATACGAGCTCAGAATACATGTTTAAATTAAAAATATGAAAATAAGAGTTAATGCATGTTTAATTTAAAAGTAAATAAAAGTTTGAAAATGCACAAGTATATGGAGGGATATTTTAAGCAGCAATATTAAAAATGCAAGTTTTAAGTTATAAAACTGAAAACAGGAGTCCAGAATATATGTTTAAATTAAAAATAAAAGAAATGCTGGAAATTTAGTAAAGTTTACAAAATTATGGTAAATTTACAAGGAAATCCTATATTCTGCCCAATTTATGTCCCTTACAATTTCTAGAAATTTGTTGAATACATTAATATTTTGCTCCTTTGAAGAAAATGACACTTTCCAGTTTAAAACACGCAGGAATGCGACAGGGTTGACGACGTGGAGTATTCTAGAATTTACTGGGTTAACAGAAAAACAAACATCCAAAAGGTGTGCCAAGCCAAAAATCGCCAATGGGGTCCTATACTCACGCTGTACCAATTTTTTAAATCAGAAGTAGAATATGAGAATGTATAAATTTACGCCAAATATGTAAAACCCAAATATTGGCTTTAGTGTAGAATTGGGTGCCCCTTTGATTGGCGATACTTTTTTTTTCTTTTGGCGATGAAACCTCACTTCTGATTACCACGAGTTTTAATTTTGTTTTAGCTTCACGATTTTATTTAAATGAAAATAGATTGATGTGTACATGGACATATTTAAGGCAGTGCGCAATGCCTAGTTTGTGCAATTCTAGGATGTTTTTTTAAGTAAAAACAGATCGATGTGTACATGGACACAGATCTTATGCAATTCTTTGACTTCTTATTTTGATTTTGTGTAGCGGTCATCTTGAAATTGTGACTTCCTGGCGCCGATCTTGGCGTCAAAAAAGAATCGCCAATAAACAAGGGGTACCCAATTGTAAACTTTTACCCAAATATTTTGTGTATTTATCTAAGGTGGGCTGATGGTTCAGTAAAATGTTAGGTTGACATGTATATAATTTTCTCTTGGTAGCAAAGAACCCAACTGCAGATTTAGTAAAATTAAAAATCAATTTGTGGTTTTCAGCAAAATTCCATAAGTTGTCACGAATAATCTGATTCTAGTGCGTAGTTACAGCATACAGCATATTATGAGGATGTAGAATTCGATGCTTTTTTTAGTACATATCATACCATTATCAAGAACAGTTGTATGCTAAGACAAAATAATCACAACGCTTTCAAATGGATCAGATACTATGGATTTTACAACAGAAGCAATGTTTAAATCAGCAGCTTAATTTAGTTCTGATGGTATGTAGTAAAAAAATTATGTTTTTAACGATAAGTTTTGTTACATATTATACAGGTATAATCAAGAAAATAGCATTAAAAATATTTTTTTTTATACGAATAGTGCAGAAAGTTGCTGATTTTGAATAGAATTTCAAAAATGATTCAGCAGTTTTTAAAACAAGATTTTAAAAGTATGCTATGGCTGGCAATTTATGAAAGTTACTCTTACTTTCTTTCAGACGCCCTTCAATTTCTTTATGTTCTAAAAGTTTCTTTCTATAATCCTGGAGAGCCTTCTCTCTAGGATTTTCTTGCTGCGCTTGAGGTTGAGCGACCGCTACGGCTGCCATTGCTGCTTAGGTTGGACAGACTGACTGATACACAGATGAAGAAGACCTACGAAGTCTTTTTGCAACAAGCACTGAGTATAATTATACTCCGTGGCCGCAAGATAGGAAATTAGAAAAAAGATAAAAACATGTTTTAAAAAAATCTCAGAGTTTACAGAACAAAAGATCTGAAGTCATATAAAGAATTTAGGTGGGGAAAAAAGAGAAGATGTATATTCCTAAAAAAAAATTGCTTCAAAGTTTACAAAAGACAAAGGATCTAAGTCATAAAAAGAATTGTGGACAACATTTAGGTGTGAAAAAAGAGATACCTAATGTGTCTTACAGTGAACTTAAGGCTCCTCTAAATAATACAGGAGCCTTACTTAAGTGAACTGAATACTCGGAATCTTAACACCTGTACTTATTTTATTTTGTATAAATTGTATGTTTCTGTAAATAGATGCTGACTTGAGTAAATTGCTTAAGGAGAACTAAAAATGTAGGTTAATGGAATTTACAGAGTCTTTGTGACATATAATGAATTTTTAACAACTTTTTGGTACCTTCAAACTTTATTAAAAAAGCACATTTTCGAGATTCTTAAGCCACGGCCAAAGTTGAGTTTTGCTAGGGATCCATAAAATAGGGAAGGTTTTCATGACATCCCTGTATTCTTGACATAATTTAGAACTTTATTTTTAAATGTTTAATAGAAGCTTTATTTTTAAATGTTAATTTTAAACCTTAATTTTACCTTGTATAAATTGTTTCCGTGAATAAAGTATTTGCAGAAAATTTGTTTTAAAGTATACATTTTTGGCAGCAAAACAAAAGTGTTTACGGTAGGAGTCCCCAGTGTTATGAAATGATGTAGGAGTGAGATTTGTATTATTCTCTTTATTATTATGATCTATGAGTAACTGATATAACCATTGGATATTATTATACGAAGTTAACAACTGAACTTATATACGTTGCGAGTTGTGCATGATATTAAATTTTCTGTTTGTTTGCATTACTCTTTAAGTTCGTAAAGAACCTGGAATTATTTTTGTTATGTTTTCGTTATCAAGTAGCGTGGCGCATATTGAACAGAATCAGTTCCAAGATGGTGATTGCAATGTTAGTAATTTTTTTCTAGTAGCTTAGATTGAACAGAGCTTGATTCCGCCGAGGGGTAAGAAGACCCGAGCAGCAATCCTCATAAGTATTATAAAGGAAAGGCGGATCCGAGCAGCAATGCTGATAAGTATTATAACAGAAAGTCGAAATTATGAAAAACTGTACACTGATTTTGGGGTTTATAAGCTCTCAAAGGTCACAAAATCAGCTTACGGTTTCTCATTATTCCGTTTTTCTTTGATAAAAACCTTAGAGCAACGGTTCTCAACCTTTTGACTTGCGCGTACCATCTAAACAAAAATTGAAAACCTGTAGTACCGCTACTATAAAGTACTACGACCACCACCACTCTTAAACAAAGCTTAGATCACAAAAATTTACGATTGTTAGGAAAAAAAAAAAAAAAATCAATCAGGATGGTGGGGTTTTAATTTTTGAATTTAATATTTAAAAATACTTTGCTTCTTTCATACCACCAGTGGCACGCGTACCAACGGTTGAGACCCCTACCTTAGAGGCCTTTAAAAGAAAGCCTTGCTTCAGACTAATCAAATAAGGCTATTACCCTGAGAATAATGTTAATATTTTTCCAGCCGCATTTCAGAATCTCGAAGCATCATAAAGAGTTTCTCAAAACATTTAAAAAGACGACTACCACTATTGGAAATGCTAAGAATATTTATTTATATATTATAAAAGAAGATTGCATACACTATGCTTGTGTGCAGTCTCTAAATGTTTTCAGTCTTCCATTGAAGATGGAAGATTCATCTGTATTTGTTTTTTGTAAAGCCTAAATTTCAAGAAGTTTGTCTAAACTGGTTTGTTTCTTTGAATTTTTCAGAAATAGTGTATATCATTGTCATTTAACATATTTGTCATTGTTCATTTTACTTTGATTAGAATGTCATTAATTGACTTAATTTTGGACATCTTATGTCTCTGAAAGATTTTTTATTTGTTGTGAGTATTAGTTCCATAGCATTTTCTTCATTCTTTTTTCCATGAGAGTTATTAACATCTCGGTTGTAAGCTCATTTTGGTGCTTTTTTAATAGCTTTTCAACATCTTCTCCTAAAACCTTTTTTCCTGTGGTGCCATATGAAAAGCCTAATCTACAAGTGCCTCTTTGAAACCAATATGGATCTAGTCTCCAAGATCACCATATTCGAAAATTGCTTGGAGTCTTCGCAAATGTTTGTCCATCCCTGTCCTGCAGGTGTGAAGCTTACATTACAGTTGGTGGAAGATCTTTTGAGTAATTTCTTTGAGCATGTACATCAGCATACTGAAAATGATTTCCTCCACTACATTATTGTTATCCAGTTGTTCGATCTTAGCATAAGCAAAACACAGACCACTTCAGGTTGAATTAAAGATTCTTTGGTTCAGGTACTTTTTCTTGTTTCTCAATATGGTAGTTTTTATTGTGTCAAATTTGTCCTTTTGGAATTTTCTAATTTTTATGTCATATGAAACTTGGTATGTTTTAAAGTGCCTTCTGTAAAATGCTATTGTGTACAATGTGTTGAAGTTGGCAATCATCTATTTGTCTGTCAGCTGAACGAGAGAGATTTTTCTGAATCTTAAGAAATTATGTAATTAAATTGCAGCTACTTCTTCAGATCTTTAGAGTGACCAAGGACTTTATCAAACAACAGCATAGCTTTCAGTGGCAGGGTTTTCTCTATCAGGTGCATTTCGACGTAGTGCAAAAACTTTCACTATCAACTAATTAAAAATTGATTGCACGAACCAAGTTTTTTAATTGGTCTGGGCAAGTAGCTCTTTCATTAATATCATAGATCTGGCACAGGTCAGTTAATGAATTACACTAGATATGTAGCCTTGATGAAATAACATTCTGTTTTTGAAAAGCTCTGGAATTCTCAAAAACATTTTTCCTCTCTTGTTATGCAAGTTTTATTAGGTATCTTTTTTTAGAAAAGCTTAATTTCATTGCTCATAATATTCATGTGCGATTTTTAATCAGGAATTAAGTTACTGTTTTTTTAACTAGTGCACTTACATGAGGACTCGCTCTACATGTTTCTAAAAAGTTACGTGAAATCTGTTACAGTACAAAGTCTTTCATACGGACTCATCAAGACTTCGGCGATTCCGGATTATAGATCATCAATTTAAATCTGGTAAGATGGCATGCAGAAATTATAAAATTAAAAATATGAAACCATAATTTATGAAATAAAGAGCAATTATGGTCTAAAGGTTATCAAAATTTACAAAAAAAAGAAGCTTAATAATTATGTGTTTACTTTATTAAACATTTCTTTCAATGCGTGCATGCGTAAAGCATACATTACGCATAGTCGAAATTAGAAAATTGCAACCAGAAAACTATTTAATGTGTATTCGTGATATTTGTAATGACCAGGAATTTAATTTAAATCATATCAAAAACAGAGTACATCGAGATGAAATACTACATTTAAGTAAGGAATTATAAGCCGAATAAAATAAAAACATCTGCCCTGAAGATAACGATAAGTGCCGACATATCAATTGCTAGTTCATTGCGCGCCGCCACGTTCCCCCCCCCTCAGAGCAGCATGAAATTAATAAACAGATTTCGGAATGTTTAGAGAAACAAAGGATATGCCTTTATCCATTTTTTGCAGCAATTTCACTTTCTGTTTGATGGACATCAAAACATGCTTTTGCTTTGTAGATTCTTTGGCAGCTCCAGAATCTGAAACTCTTTTTGACATAATTGAAAGTTCAAGCTTACTTTTTATAAAATTGCTCTAACAGTCTGCAAAAAATAATAAGCCAGATCCGATTAGAAGATTAAGGAACAATGCAATCTGCAACATTAACAGAAATAGATAATTAGATAATTTTAGCCTAACTTATACTGTCCGTTATACATTAAATGCGCATGCGTAAACGTATTATGTGCATGCACAGAAAGTTTGTAGCTTTGAGGTCTGGATTATGGATAAAAGATTTTGTACTGTATTTAGTTGTATATTTGGACGTATAGTGCTAAAATAAATTGTAAATTTATACTTAAAATATCATTTTTTATATCATTTTGTAATTTAATTTGCAGGTCACAATCAGTCTTCCATCGTCAAAGAAAAATAAATGATACTCACTTTTTAATTTGTTTATTTGCTTAATACGTAATGATGATGGAAACAGTTGTTTTAGTTGCAATTGGTGTTCTGACAGTAGTATTTATTGGATCACTTCTGGCACTTATCTTAGTATGCCGTCATAAATATTGTCGACCACTAGATTTATTATCTCATCAGTTAAAAGATGCAAGGTAAGAAAGAAAAGTTTTTATTATTTTTATATAAGGTATTATTATGTATATTGTGCACTTTGGAAAGTTCTTACATATATGAATTAATTAACCCTTTGACTATGAATTTTTTTTTTTAAAAATTTCCCTGTTTTCTATCATGTGAACAAAATATAGTCAAAAGTCGTTAATCCGGACCCGTCGGGACTTCGGCGATTCCGGATTATAAATCATCAGTTTAAATCTGGTAAGATGGCATGCAGAAATTATAAAATTAAAAAATATGAAAACAGTAATTTAATTTATGAATTAAAGAAGCAATTATGATCTAAAGGGCTATCAAAATTTACAAAAAAAAAAGCCTTAATATTTATTTGTTTACTTTATTAACCATTTCTTTCAATGCAAGTTGTTTAAGTTGCTTTGTTTTATGTGATAATACTTTTTCTTTAATTCTGTAAACGGACATAATTTCTTGTTCAGTTACAAAGTTCCGCTGTTCAAGTCCTATAATTGCTGTGTCGAGAATACCGACTAATTTGTCAATCAAAATTTTTTTGCGAGGAATTTGATTTAAATCATATCAAAGACGGAGTACATCGAGATGAAATACTACATTTAATAAGGAATTATAAGCCGAATAAAATAAAAACATCTGCCTGAAGATAACGATAAGTGTTGACATATCAACTTCCAGTTCATTGCGCGCCGCCACGTTCCCCTCCCCCCCCGCCGCAAAGCAGCGTGAAATTGATAAACAGATTTTCCGAACGGTTAAATAAACAAAGGATATGCCTTTATCCATTTCTTGGAGCAATTCCACTTTTTGTTTGATGGACATCGAAACATACATTCGTTTTCGTAGATCCTTTGGGAGCTCCAGCATCGGAAATTCTATTTGACATAATCGAAAGTTCAAGCTTACTTTTATAAAATTGCTCTTACAGTCTGCAAAAAATAATAAGCCGGATCCAATTCGAAGATTAAGGAACAACGCAATCTGCAACATTAACTGAAATAGATAATTAGATAATTTTAGCTTATACCGTTCGTTATACATTAAATGCACATGCATAAACGTATTATGCATATGCGCAACCCTAAAGGTCTTACATGCATGCGTAGAAAGTTTGTAGCTTTGAGGTCCGGATTATAGATCATTCCGCATTATGGGTGTCCAAATTAACGACTTTTGACTGTATATCATAAATAAGGTAAATTTAGCATTTGAGATTTTTTTGACAAATGGTTTGCAAGCCAAAGGCTGGGACACATATGTGCCAGTCATTGTTAATGGTGGGATACATATGTCCCGCATGTAGTGATCGACTTGTTATAAGCGTACCTATTATTCTGGAAAACTTTTATTATATGAAATAGATTTACACTGTATGGTACAGGATAAAGCATTCTTTGCATAACACATTGGAGAACTCATATGTGTTCTCTTCTTCATGTTCATTTGTGTACAACGAGCACAGCAGCATCTTGATTTTCCAACTATTGGAAGATGATCCCCCAACATTCAGGAGATTCTAAGTACTTAATAACCCAGCCGTAATTTTTAAACTTCTAGTGGGACATATATGTCCCGTTAGTAGTCAAAGGGTTAAAGAATTTTTAGTAGATATGTAGATGATAAATGACAGCCTGTAATGAAATTTAGGTAATAATGTAGTATGCGATCTACCGTTTTTAGTTAGTTATTTCTTAGATGGCACCACTAAATTGCTGTTTCTAAATTCAAATGGGCAGTAAAATAGCAGGAAAAAGAAATTAATAAAACAACAACTAGTCTTAGTGCTGTCATCCAAAACCTAAATAACAAACTAAAATCACATACTGCATGATTACCAAAGTTTGAATGATTTATTTAATGAAATGCCAAATAGAAAAACATTTTGCACATACGAGTAACAGTGTCAAATTGGATAATACAAAGTATCATTAGCACCTACAGTAAACCTTCAAATACATCTACCTAATTATTGTTAGAATAAAGCTCAAAGCATCCCCCTCTTTAATTATTATTTATAATTTGTAATGCCCATATTGCTAAACATAAAAGATCATTTTGTATTTTCTGGGATCCAAATAATAATCACATTAACTCATGCTTATATTTGAACATCTTTAGGTCTATACCTCTTTTACACTTTATTCAACAAAATAAAAATTCTCATTAACATAATGTGAATATTTTATAACAATTATAATTTCATTTCAAACATAAGACAGCATAACCCATAAGCACGCTTTCTGATTATTTGCCCAACCCCAAAAAGGAAATTCACCAAGGAATGTATTATGTAGCCAAAATGGGCAAGTTGTATTTATGCAGCAATCCTGGCATGCATGTGCATGCAGTAGAGTGTTAATTTCACCCTTCGGTTGATCTTTACATTACGGTAACTGGTAGTTTGGCGACATTTTGGAGGGGATAAAGGTAAAACCTGGGACTTTGGTAATAATGTGAGCAGTACTGAGTTCCGATTACGCATTATTTTGTGTGGGGGAAATGAGAGATCATGGGATATGTCATGTGATATTAATGGACGAATTACGGTTCTTTAATCGGAAAAGGGGGGAAATCGGGAAAAAATCTGGAAATTTTGTATTTGGCTTTATTCTGTGTTGTGTGAAATAGTGTTTGTGAGTTTTTGGATCCCATGGCCGTAAGTAAGTGAATTTGAAATGGGTATTTAGTGGTATTGAAAAGGATAGTAAGAAATGTTTTTTAAGGTTGTGTGAGAGAGAAATAAACATGTTTTATTATGTTATTTATTTTACCTGGTATCTTGCTTTGAAAGATAAGTATGATTTTAATGATTCTGAAAGAGAATGAAGAAAAGTGTATCCGCCACGTAATGAAGATTCTGAAGGAGATTAGGTAAGTTAGTATTTTTAATTATTTTTATGCATTGTTGGAAATGTAAGGTGGAAAGGAATTTGGTATTATTGGGAAAATTGTTATTAGCAGTGATTTAGTTTAAAGTAATTAGGATTGTAAGGTAATTTTTATTAATTGAATGTATGTGCTCATGTATATTTTAAGTGTGTTTTTTTTTGAATTTAATTATATTTTAATGAAATGATAGTTATTTTGTGAATTTTATACTTGTAGGAATTTGGTGTATGTTTAAGTTGAAATAAATGTGCATGGAAATAATTTAAATATTTGATAATAATATTTGTAATGCTTCATGTATGAATTCGTTGGTGACGTGTATAATGTAATAGATGATTTAGAGGTAAAAGTTTTTGGATTTTATTTATTTTATATGTGGAAATGTTCATATTTGTAAAGGGTAAATACTTTTTCGTGATCAGGTAATTTCATATATGTTCTTTTTACCGGGTTTAAAGATTGAGAAAATTGTCATGTATTTTCGTGAAATTTTTTTTTATTTATGAGATAAAGCAGTGTACATGGATATAGTGAAGAGTGTGCGCAATGCCATTTTTGTGCATTCTGGGATTTTTTTTAAGTAAAAATAAGTCGACGTGTACATGGTTCAGTGATATTTAATGAAATGATAGTTATTTTGTGAATTTTATGCTTGTAGGATTTGGTATATGTTTAAGTTGAAGTAAACGTGCATGGAAATAATTTAAATATTTGATACTAAATATTTGTAATGCTTCATGTATGAATTCGTTGGTGACGTGTATAATGTAATAGATGATTTAGAGGTAAAAGTTTTTGGATATTTTATTTATTTTATATGTGGAAATGTTCATATTTGGAAAGGGTAAATACTTTTTTGCGATCAGGTAATTTCATATATGTTCTTTTTACCGGGTTTAAAGATTGAGAAAATTGTCATGTATTTTCGTGAAATTTTTCTAATTTATGAGAAAAAAGCAGTGTACATGGATATAGTGAAGAGTGTGCGCAATGCCATTTTTGTGCAATTCTGGGATTTTTTTTAAGTAAAAATAAGTCGGCGTGTACATGGTTTATGTGTATGTGTTATTTTGAAAAACGCATAAGGTGTATGGTATTGTATTGTGCACTTTTTCCGAATTTTGCAGTGAATATTTGTCATGATTAAGCAGTTTTGTTGATATAAAATTTCTAGCATAAGTGTAATTCGGCTAGTAGATTGTTGGAAGAAGTGTTCAGTAGATAAGAAGAAAAGAAACATGTCTTTACTTTGTGAAGACAAAATGGCGGCGGGGAAAAAAAATAGAGGGTTGCTGTAGGGGAGTTGGTCGCCAAATTTTCGCCAAAAAATCGCCAAGTTACCGTAATGTAAAGATCAACCCACCCTTCAAATTTTACAGATAGTACTGTTTGTTTTTATTGCATTGAGTGTGTGTGTGTGTGTTTCTCTCTTTATAAGGAATTGTAACGATACTACATATATAAGAGTTTTCTAGTTGATGAAAAAGCATTGCGTATTTTCAGAAGTATGGTATTTAAGTTAATCATGCAATACAACAGTTAGGGAATGTGATAATTCCATGAATTTATACTTCATAAACTGTGTACATGGGAAAAACAAAAACATGCACTATGTCAAATCTATGCAATTCTCTCCTTTTGAAGCAAAACCAGACCGCAGTGTACATGGAGAAAATGATAGTGTGAACAATGCCAAGTTTCTGCAATTCCTCAGTGCTTCTGAAGCTAAAACAGATTGCTATGTATATGGGGAAAACAAGGTAAAAATAGATTTGTGTTTTAGATAGTCACACATTATCCCATTGACCAGCCGAGCGGTGCTATTTAGCACCAATTATGAATGAGCACATCACAGCATACAAGTTACAACTGTGCTTTTATTTCATGTAACTGAGATCAGTTCTTTATAAGCCACTTTTTCTTTTTGTAAACAAGGGTAGAACTTAAGTGTTACTTGTAATTAAAAAAAAAAAAAAAAAAAAGATAAAAATTTGGGACTTTATAAAAAAGCATGTAGTGAATTATTATCAAACTTGCTGAATCTTACCTTAAAAAAGTGTGTATTAATGGGCAGGATGTAGTGCTTTACTTGGAAATGCATAAAGAATGGCTG